TTGTGACTGCTGGACTCCAGGGAGAGGGACCCTTCCTTGAAGGGTACAAACCCTTCCTGGCACTCCACTTCAATGCCTCTTTCTCTCAAAGAGGAAGTCAGTTTTGCAAGGTGGATACAATCTAATGAGCAAAAGAAACCGAGTGAGATACTTATACAGAAATATCAGACAGTCCACTGGTTTAAGAAATAATGTCTCTAAACCAAGTCTTACCGAAGTTTCCCAAAAGGTGCCAACAAAACGCCCCTGATAACCCACACACTGACATGCAGGTGGTTCCTATAGCGACTGTGCTGTGAGCCTAAGTCACACTGACAGACTTTCACAGCAAGCCTTCGCCTCTAGAGTTTTCAATTCTACGGACATGTTGAAGCACTCAGTCTAGTATGCAGGCACACCATGGGTCAAATCACAGTCCCTCCAATACATGGTAAAATACAGTTCTCCTAAGAATGAGCAAACACTAAGTCCACAAGAGTGAAATGTGAGCCACCTAGCAGCCCAGCAGAAGGGGAGCCCTCAGGCAAGCAGGAGTCACTATGGACTGAAATGTTGAGACCAAACCCATCTGCAGTGACAGAGAACTCCCACCAGATGGAGTGAAGAGACTCAAGCTTCCTTTCACGTTCTTGTTCTCAACTATTTTACGTTTGCCCTGATCGACAGGCCTTGGCTACCTATTTTCTCAAAATCACAAGTGCAACTGGTTTGTTTCTTATAAAGCAAACAGCAGGAAGAAAATAAATGAAAATAAACCGTTTAGTTTTGTTGTTAGGAGCGTGCTCTGAGCTGAAGAGATGGGTCTATAGTGAAATCGCTTGCAGCACAACCAGGAAGCTTTCAGACCCTAACACCAGGCAGCTGTGTGTCTCCCCCATGGTGACACACAGGCCTAGACCCGTAACCCCAGCATTGAGGGGTGCAGAGAGGAGAATCTCTGAGGCTTGCACAGTTCAAAACAAAACAACAAAAGCAAACCCACCAAGCTCTGGGTTCAGGTAGAGTTCTGGCCTCAAAAGAACACGGTGGGGAATTAAAGACGACATCTGATGCCCTCTGCTCTCCGTGTGTGCCCAGGAACTGTATACAAAGAACTGAAAAGCAGTTTCTAAGAAAGAGAGAAAGAGGGCCCAAGCAAGAATCAAGCTGGTTCACTCAATGTAAAGCAAAAACCCAGACTTAAAACTCTCATAGAGCAGGGGGTGGCGGTGGGGATGACCAACTAACTTCTCCAGGAATCTCAACTTGGAGAATCCCACTGCCTTCAGAAGGGCGCCTGAATTTCCTTTTTCCAAGCCACCACCAATACATTTATTTGCGGTACAGAGTTAACTCCTTGGCCACGACTCCACAGAGGTAGCCAGATCTGGCAGGGACTAAGGTGATAAAAATCTGTGAGTCACCTGACCCACATAGAGCGCTGGGACCATGAAGGTAGTAGAAGAGTTTTACTTCAGAACCACGAAGGCAGAACTATTCAAAAGTTCCACACAGGCCTAGACTCAAAGGTGCATCTTACAAAGCTGGGGTGAAGCCTGCTTCTAGGCTGCAAGGGCGAGCTGGGGCAGTGGTGACTCATCCCACCGGGGGCAGGACCCCATCCCATCTCACAATGTCTTACTGGCTCTCAATTCTATCACCATTCCATCTCCAAAGAAGCATTAAGAACTGGTGGCTGGCATGAAATGCACTCTAAGGACAGCCTTGTTTGTCCAGGGAGTCCTATTCTGCAGTTCCTCAGGGAACCTCTGACTCACTTCTAACCGATAAATGACTGCGAAGATGAAAAGTCACTGGGGTTACATTACCTGGTCACTGACTGGCCATAAGTAAGACTGTAATACAACTTATACAGCTAAAAAGGGCATCTCCAAATCTACTTCACATGTCTTCCTGCCCTGACTCTTACAGACACTCAGTGTATCAAAACCCTGCTCTCCTTTTTCAGATACTAGGGGAGCATATCAGACTGGCCCTTCCTCCTCACCCTCCTCGCCCCCCAGACTATTTAGGAAGGGCTCTCTATGGGACAGAGCACTCCTTCCATCCAGTAAGTGTAGCACTCTCTCTCACGTGTGCCTCCATGACTCTAGTCATCTCCTGAGTGACAGTGAACACTTAAACTGCAGTCTCCAGTCCTAGGTTTCAAGACTCGTCACACTACACTGGAGAGTCAGGTCAAAGGGCATGCACAGTGGTGATTCTGATACATCAGTTCTACGGATTCTCGCACTTGGCCATAGGTCAAATATAAGAATGTTTCCTGACAAATCCCACTGTCATCAAACTGATAACAGATGAATGTTTATTCCAGTAAAAAACTGTTGCTTGCACAGGCTCGTCTTAATGGTAGCTCCCCCTTTCTCTCCTGCTCTTCCCTACCATGCAATCACCACAGGCATAGTGTGGAAGCCTAAGGAACATGCCAACAGCAGGACTCCTCCCTGAGGTCCAATTTCTATGCAGAAAAGACAGACACATGAACCAAGACTGACATGAGAGAGCGATGCCGGCAGGAAACAGGTGTAATACATAGAATACATAGCCCTTCAACCACGGCAACCCTACCCATCTCTGCCTCCCTGGGCCTGAGTCCTTGGTGACCTTTTGTCCCCTGCAGCACTGTGGACCTCTACTACTTAGCGAGATCGTGGTACTGGGCTGGTCTTATCCAACTGCAAGGCACTCCCACTGACCTTGGGAAGCTACCCCACGGCGGAGCTGGCAGATGGGAAGCATGCAATGACATGCTGCCTGCTGTGACAACACTGCCTTTTAAAACTGCAAACACCTTCTTTTAAAAGATATTTTTTATGTATTTTTGTGTATGTGTGAGTATGTGTCAGTTTATGCGCACCAGCCACTCATGCAGGCCAAAGTGTATCCGATCCCCCTGGAAATGGAGTCAGACAGTTGTGAGCCACCTGACATGGCTGCTGGGAACTGAATCCAGGTCCTCTGTAAGAGCAGCAGCTCTCCAGTCCCTTAAGCTAGGTTCTCGTCATGTCAGGTCTGACATCCTACACGGTATCAGTTGCACTTTCACTATCAGGACTAAGAAAGCGCACAGACCAAAAGACCCACAGAACCACCTGTGCAGCCTTTGCAAATGCAGAGCAGAAGGCTGCCTTGGCCACACTCTCAGACACTGTCTACTTTTGTCCCAGGACAAGAGCAAAAACTCTTCATGCTCCCAGCAAAGCCGGGCATGTCCTATGCTCTACTGAACCACGAAGGTCCAGGTTTAGTTGATGCCACCATTCTATTCTGCCTGGCCAACACATCACTTCCAACACCAACGTATTAATGCTGTCCCCGGGGCACCCAACCCTGGCTTGCCACACTGCTCTCCCACCTTGTCTATGACCAGCTGTCCTGCTGACCAACTCCTCTCACCCCAGACACTTCTCTTCCTCTCACCATTCTTTCACACACCGTAACAATGGCTAAAAGACACCCCAACAAAAGAGCAGAGGCCATCTGAACGATCCTCACTTGAACTGACTGAAACAGCCTCCTTTACATAATTTCAAAGGTGGAAACAGCCTTGAAATGAGGTTAACTTCAAATCACAGTACAATTAAAAACAAACAAGGCAAACCCCAGGATCATCCCCACTATTCAGTGCCCACACATTCTGTCTAGCCTGGTCACTATCAATTTCAACCCCAGTGTTTCTGATCAAGTTTGGAGACCTGTTTTAGAAGGTTTAACTTTAAATTTCACAGTAAACCTGGACATTTTGTATTTATTTCTGTCCAGCTGAGCTGATAACACTGCTCATTTCAGAGACTATGCACTAAAAAGAGAAACGGTAGAGGACACTGAGCACCCTACCCTGTCCATGGTTGGAGCTCACTAGGTTTCCTAGTGGCTCTACCCAGCAGGACTTCATGGGAGGTTGATAGGACCATGGGCCTGGGTACCAGGTGACTGTAACTAGCAAGGGCTGGAGATCTTTTGTTCTACCCCTCGGCATTATTATAAATAGACCTCTGGAATAAAGTTCTGGGCTGGTGGATAAGGATTCAGACCCACTCGAGTCTATCCTGTGTTTTCTCTCTGTTTCTCTCCTCTTTATTTCTAACTAAGTGTCTTATCCCTCATTCCTCAAGAGTTCCTGGGGTAAATAAGTGTAGGGGCTGGTCCCCCACAGTCCATGGCAAACCAAACCAGGGAGGTACCACAAAGCAGGGGACGATCCTTGGCTATCCTAGCTATAAATGTGTACAGCTGCACCTGCAGATCAAGAGTTACCTGCATACTCTGTTTTATTTAAAGGCCTGAGTTAGTCTTTATCAACCTCATGAAACCGAAACAAACAAGGGTCTTTACCTGATGTGGGGAGAGGACACTGAGTCACAAGAGGCAGGTATAGATACTTACAATGAATAAAAATCAAAACAGCTAGCAAGATGGCTCAGTGGGTAGAGGGCCTTTGTCACCCAAGCCTGATGATTGAGTTTGACCCTGTAACAATTTATGTGTAGATGGAAGGAGAGAACCAACTCGTGAAAGTTGTCCTCTGACCTCTATGTGTGCTCTGCAATTGCATTAAACACACACATACAAAATTTAAAAAGCTTAGCAAACAAAATCATCAAAAAAGCATGCTAGCTGGTTTGATCATACACCAGATGTTTCTAACAAGACTAGCCTTAACTGAGCTAATGAAAACTTATGTAAGGAGGATTTCTGCTTTCTTACTCATACATAGGAAGTATAACAGATCTGTGTGACTTTAAAGCAGCAAACAGAATACTTTTGGAAATATTTCTTGAGCAAACACTGTCCAACATATGCAAGGTACCCTTCCCCTTCTTAAAGGGCCTGCCTACAGCTCAGAAAAGGACCCCTTTCTCTTCCTCCAGGGCCCCTGTTGCCTAGACCAGACCTGAGTGCCAGGATCATTTCAGTGTAGAAATGCAGACTATGTAAAGACAGAAAAGAACTTGGAGCTATGAAGGGGACACATCAAGATGCCATCAAATAGTACTCACTGCTGGTTCAACTTGACTTCGATCTGCAATGTCTATGTGGACAATTTCAACAGTTTTCCATGTGTTTGGATCTAAACCATGAACCTGTGAAAACAGAAAACTTTAGTGTGTTCTTTTTCAGGAAAGCATTCCATTTCCATATGTCATCTAAGCTTGAGTCCTTCAGGGTACAGTATGGGGATGACATTACTATTTCAGTAAGCAGCAGCTGGCCATCTTGAGATCTGGACAGCTTTTACTCTTTGTATCACTCCCCCAAAGAGGGGTGGATTTATGCATGAGAAATCCATCAGGGCTGTTTTATAGTAGTACTAAGAAGTGATTCTTGTAACAAAATGTATCTTGCCTGTTTAATGCAAATGATAGATAGAAGCACAGTGCTTGGAACCCTTAAATGCTATGCTAGCAAAGGTAACACGACAACCAGACTTCAACAAGCCGCTCTAGGGCTGGAGCAGTGGTTTTTAACACAGCCCCTCATGTTGTGGTGACCCTAACCACAAAATTATTTCACTGCCACTTCATAACTGTAATTTTGCTACTGTTATGAATTGTAATGTAAGTATCTGTGTTTTCTAATGGTCTTAGCAGAACCCTGTGAAAGGGTCTTTTGACCTCAAGGTGGTCAAAGGTTGAGAACCACCAGGCTAGAGAGATGGCTTAGTGATTAGGAGCACAAACTGCTCTTGCACAGGGTCAGAGTTCAGGTCCCAGCACCCATGCTGGCTGACTCACAACTGCCTATAACTCCAGTTGCAAAAGCCTTGGAAGTTTGTGACCTCCTCTGGCATATGCACTCATGTGCACCCACCCCACCAAAACTAAAAAAACATAAAACAATTAAAAACAAATGTTCTTTAAAAAAGAGAAGGCGCTGACTGTTCTACAGCCTGTTTTCAGTTTGTCAACTTCTTGACACTTGTTACTCAATTACTTCTCAATCCCTGGGAACTGTTTTAAAATAACAGGTAAGCCCATTTGAAAGCTAGAAATGGCAGGATAAAGTCACACAGAGTATAAAACATAATCGATACGTATCCCTTCATTCAGACCCTTTATTTTAGAGAACTTCTATGAAAAACATGATCAACTGACAAGCACACAAACTAAAATTTGAGTTCTATGAATGGGCACCAATAACGAAACAGCAGAGTAACAGAACAGTGTGACTAGAATTTAGCCCTCCACTAACTCACACTCTAGGATGAGAGCAGGAACCCTGAACGTGGGTGTGCACTGGAAGGCAGCCTGCTGGAGGCCTGAGCACACACACTCCTAATGACTTCTAGATGCTGTGCTCCAGAGCTACAGACGCTTCTGAGACCCATGGGGCCAAGGGTGTCAGGGCTTGCCAGATGCCTCCCCAGCTCCTGAGCAAGCCTTCCTGGCTATTTCCAGAGTCCTGGCAGGTATTCTTGAAGCTCAGGCATGAATGAACCTTAACATGCTTATCATAACGTAAGTCGGGAGCTTGGCAACAACATCTTTGCCAACAAGGACCTTCTCACTCCTGCCCTCTGCTCATCTCTCTGACATCAATCTGGGGCCCAGACAAGTGAAGTGGAAGCAGACATCAGAGTGATCGGCTCTGCTAAGGACTGCTCTGGTGAGCAGAGGAAAACCATCCCAAACCCCAGGTAAAAAGGGGATCCCACACCATCTGCGAGTGCTGTCACCCACGTCCTCCTTGTTGCAAGTAAGAGAGCTGCTGATAACAACAGTGATCTCACAAGAGTCCACTCAAGCAGCGAGGCAGGACTGATAGGGGAAGTCAATCTGCATCTGGCTGGCTCATCTCACCCCAATGACACAGCCGTGCTGCCAGGAGCTTGTTTAATCCAGGGTCATCAGGGCACTGAGGAGAGTGGACTACTTCCAGTAATTCCCATTCCCACAGCCTTCTTCACTCAAGCAGAGCTGGCACCACCCTGATGCTGCTGCTAATCAAGCCTTGGACACATGGACCAAGCCCTCCATGAAGCAGCTACACTCGGCCTTCTTAGTGCAGGGTGGAAACTTACATTTTCTAACGTTCCTAAGTCAGGTTTGTGCCATGTTTCGATTTTGATGAAGAAGTCATCTTTCATATATTCATTCTGCAGAGAACACAACAAGAAAGTGATGCCCCCTTCACAGTTCTCTGGGGTCTTTCCCCGCACAGCACCCCAGTGTGGATGGCTTTCCATTTTTCATTAGCTTTCCATTTTGTTTTAGATTTATTTTTATCTTATGTGTAGGAGTGTTTTGCCTACATCTATGTATGTGGCCACACATGTCTGGTACCTGCCAAAGTCAGCAGAGGGCATCAGATTCCCCGGAACTTGATTTATGGATGGTTGTGAGCCACCATGTGGGTGCTAGGAACCGAACGTGGGTCCTCTGGAAGAGCAGCCTGTGCTCTTTATAGCCAAGCTGAATCTCCAGCCCCAGCTCCCGGTTTTTAGAGGCTTGATGGGTACAGCAAAGATGCTTTTACGTAATTCAAGCACTCCCACTTGTGATGCAGCACAGGGCAGAGAAAAGGCCGTGAGGTCTGCTGAGCAATTCCGTCATTCAGAGCAAGCAGCAAAAGCAAAGCAGAACCAACCAGGAGTGTGAGGCAAGCCTGGGACGCGTCAGGTGGGGGCGGCAGGGGGAGGGTACGGGGCAGGCCATGAAGCAATGGAGCTTAAGCAAAAAGCGAGCAGCAGTTGGGAATCAGTAGGATGCAAAAACAAAGTTTAGTGTGTGCTACTCACCGTTACAACTGAGGCAGAGAGAAGAGGCGGGCAGCAAAACAGGAAAAACTTCAATTAGATGGAGTCAAAACAGCCCGTCCCCATATTTATGTCTGGTGGACTAAGCTATCCCAAACACACAACACTTAGTAGCTTATGTCTTCAAAATGGTCTCTACACAAGCGACACCAAGAGATCCTCAATTTAGATTATGGACTACAAAGACAATATGAAGAATAATCTACCTTAATTCAAAGTAATGCTAATAAGAATATCACAAAAGCATAACATCATTTATGAAGATGGTCTGGCAAATCCATCTGTGACATCCTCCTAGAGTGCCGCTGGAGCACACCAAAAGGCACCTTTGGGTGCACATGACCTTTATGCTTTCTGTGTTTACGTGTTCACCCCAAAGCCAGCAGTTAGCAGGACTTCCATAAGGCTGTCATATCTGGGAATGAACCTGAGGGGTACACAGAGGTCTGAGGAGGAAACCAGTGACTATCTGAGACCCCACAGAAGGCTTTGCTTGGTCTAGCCCTCAAGATCGGGGCATTTAGTGTCCCTCTCCTCACAAGGGCATCAGGCTGCAGTGCTGCTGGGGGCCCGCTTACTTGTTCTACAGTAGGGGTAAGCATTCCAGGCTTTCTCATGAAACACCAAGGAGCCCTCAGGAGCAATCATCCTTACAAATGCAGGAACTTTGCTGTGAGGAGAAAGACATTGGATACATTTTCAACTGCATAATCATTTTTGTTTCTATCAAAAATGTTATCACATTCTAAATTTGATGAGCTATAGAGCACTAACAGTTTATTTCAATCCCAGAATAATCATGTATCAAATTAATGTCAAAAAAAATTATTAAGAAAGTTTAGCTATATAAGGGGTTACTATTTGATCTTTTAGTTTTTTTTTTTTTTTGGTGTGCGTGTGCGTGTGTGTGTGTGTATGTTTTATATTTTGGTGGTACTGGGAATGGAACCCAGGGCTTTGCGCATGGTAGGCAAGCACTGTACCACTAAGCTTCATCCCCACCCTTTCAAGTGTGTGTGTGTGTGTGTGTGTGTGTGTGTGATATGTACACACCACTGTCCATGTGGAGGTCAGCAGGCAAATCTGGTGTTGGTCCTCACCCTCTACCAAGTGTGAATCAACTTCCCCAGAAGGAAATCCAGCCAAGCCTACACATGGCTGCAACCCTGGCATTCATGTAGTCAGGCTTCACCACCACAGAAGCACGCCATAAATGTAGGGCTATGTCTCAACAGCAGTCACCTCAGCACTCAGGAGGCTCAGAAAGGAGGATCTCCATGAGCTTGAGGCTAGCTCATCAAAAATAGCCAGGTGTGGTGGTACACGTCTTTATCCCAGCACTGGGAGACAGAGGCAGGCAGATCTCTGTGAGTTTGAGGCCAGCCCAGTCCACATAGCAAGTTCCAGGACATCCAGGGCTATGTAGACAGACTCTGATTCAGGAGGAAAAAAGGAAGGAATTCTGTAAGTTCAAGAAATGGCTGTTGCTAGCTCCCTCAAATAATGCTCGGAAGAGAAAGGTTAAATACATGGCTGACATCCACAAGCTTATGAAAACTACCCATCATGAACCCCCCAAAGACAACTAACTGATCCACTCTTATAAACAGAAAACACTAGTTGTTAACAAGAAGGAAAACTGGTCCTTTTGCTTTCTTTCTTTCTTTTTTCTTTTCTTTTTTTTTTGCAGCTTACACAGAAATACCAACGACTTGAATATGCTTATGAACAGAGGCTTCTGCAAGGACAGCTCCAGCATACACTACCACAGACTGGAGTCAACTCCTAAGCTCCACCTTCCAACCTGTCAACACCTGGCACATGGCTTGGATCTTCTAACTTGGAGTTAGTATTATCTGCCCTGAAGTCACAAAACTTGAAACACAATGTCTATGATGTACCTAGAACATTGAAAGCCCCCCCCCCCCATGAACTGTTGCTGATGTTAAACTTTAAACTGGTAGAAAGGGAGGTGCTTTCCTTCATTTAAACATCCCAGGAGAACCATAGGCAAGTACTGTTTCATCATCTCAGATAGCTAGTAATTAAAATATTAAATCACATAAGCCAAAACTACATCATGCCCCCAACTTCAAGCACTTTATGTCATTAAATAAATTTCAAACTTATTTATTCAGTAAGACAGAGAACAAACTTCTTCAGTAAGCAAACTTGGGAGCCAGGAAGGACTTCTGACTGGACTAAGGGTAAGCAGTGGGTAAGAGCTATTCCTAAGCTCAATGCCAGAGGCGAAACAAAGCAGATGTTAGAAGCCTCACACCAACCTGTGTGTGTGCTTCTAACAAAGCTGTGCGGCATGAAGAGGAAGGAGCCCAACATGCCAGGCCCAAAGGACACGACAGGTACACGGTTGGGGAGTTTCACTATTCGAACAAATGACATCACAGGAAAAAAAATATACTTTGAGTACTGAGGCATGTGACAATCCTAGAACAGACAAAAAGATATTCCCATGTGCCTCCATGTCCTGCAAAGACAACAATGAATGATGGTCCACTCTGAGCATTTCTTCTTTTCAAATGGTACGATGACTCGCACCAACATCAGAAAATATCAAGTCAGGATAACTGAAAAAAAAAGTTGTCTTAAAGTCAAAGGCAGGTTGGGGAGATAACTTGGACAAGGAGATTCTTGCCATATAAGTACGAGAACCCAAGTTCCATCCCAGAACCCATGTAAAAAGCCAAGCATGAGCTTGTATTCCCAGCTCAGGGAAGCTGGAAAATGAAGGGTCCCCAAGGCTTGCTGGTCAGCCAGTATAACCTAATGGGCAAGCTCTAAGTGCATACCTCAGAAAACAGGGTGGGGACTGGCAAGATGTCTCAGTGGGTAAAGGTACTTGCCACCAAGCCTGACGACCTGAGTTTGATCCTTAGGGAGAGACTGGATTCCCACAGCTGTCCTCTAACTTCCCAAGTGTGCCAAGGCACATATGCACACTCATGAGCATGTGAACATGCATGTACAAGTTCACCTACACATACAATGCACACACCCAAAGAACATCCAGTGTAAACAACACACAGCTGTGAACTAGAACCAACAGTCCTTGTGCAATGTGAGGTCCTACAGAGCATAACGTAATACCTATGCATAATTGGGGTATGCGTCATCTCAGAGTATGACAAATACCTGTCAATGGTTCAGCCAGTCAACTTGGCAAGCCCCTGGAGATTACATCAGAAACAGCTTATCCTACGTGGCCCAAGAGTGGAAAAGCTCTAACCTCTATAAGCCAGTATGAAACCTGCTGACTCCCCAGTGTGCACACTCAAGGCCAGAGGATGCTAAGTGCCCGTCCTATGGCCCTCAGCTCATTACTTTGAGGCAGTCTCCCACCAGACCTGGAGCTATACTGGATGCTGCAGGCCCTGTAATCCTCCCACCTCTGTCCACCAGTGCTGGGGTTACAAGGTGCACAGAGCCACATTCAGTTGTTATGCGCGTGCTGGGGATTTGAACTCAGATCCTCATTCTTGCTCAGCAATCACTATGGCCCACTGAGTCATCATCCCACACCCACTTCTAATATTTCTCCATCCCAACCTCAACTGTCTCCTATCAGAGTTCCAAAAGACTGCTTCTACCGTTTTAAGTTCCTTTTTTAAAAACTTAAGTTATAAAATTTCCATCTTTGAGCTGGTTGCTCCAAACTTACTATAGTTTTGTACCTAGCATGAGAACATTCACTGGTAATCTGTCTTCATGTGCCTAAGTAAATAACTAAACCTCGGGAAATGTGCACCTGGAAGAAAACAGCTTTTAAGAAGAGAAATCTTCATTAGTAGATATTTTCCACATTCTTAACAAGACAACCAGAAACATGGCTATCATTTTTTCCTCTATCTGTCATCTATCTTAAATAATCTATCTCTTAATTTTCCTCTATTACGTTGATTAATAAAAATCACTTTTTCTCCTCTCTCCTCCCCTAAGCACTTAGAGATGGTGACACCTTCTGATGTTCTTAGCAGGCCTCACTTCAGGGTACCCTGTCTAGATCTGGGCTGGTTAAGAGGAGAGTTCCCACAGCACACAAAGCCTGAGAGCATGAAGGTTCTCTCAGAGGGCATGCCCTTGTCATGCACTTTAAGAATATTCACCTGGAGATCAAAGTCAATGGTAATGTTTTAGTCTACTGTGTTGAAAAAAGGCTGTACTAAGATCTGATCATAATGGAACAATGGTTATAAACCCATTTGTTCCCAGGCAGGGCAGCTGAAAAACATCATCAGATTCCCCAGAGCTGGAGCTGAAGTCACATGCCACTGTGAGCTGCTTGACATGGGTGCTGGGAACTGAACTCAAGTCCTCTGCAAGAACAGTACCTGTTCTTACACTGAGCAGTCTCTCCAGCCCAGGGTAGGCAACTCTGTCACAGAAGAGGAATACCAAGAGACTCACATGGTTCAAATGACTGTAACTGCCTTGCTGGGGGCTTAGACAATGAACCAACGGGCAATCCCAGCACAGCTTGCCCTTCCAGGGAGGAAGACAGAAACCAAGACCCATACTGCAGCCAGCACAGGGCAGGGGCAGAACAGGCTACAGGAGAGAGGGGACAACAGGACAGGGAGGCCTGAGCCATGGCAGTTCCTAGCATGGCTAACTGCAGTGACCAAAGGAAGACTATGACAAGACAGGGCTGCCAGTGAGGTGTGGGCAGCAGGAGACTAGGTGGGCTGCCCACCGACAGGCTGGAGCATAAAGTTCAATTTTTTGTGTCTGCGGAAGCCACTGGAAGCTTTGAGAAGGAGAACAACACAGCCTGGGTCAAGTTTTAAGATTACTCTGGCTGTGTGTGGAAAATTAAACCAAGCTGCAGAGTGGCAGAATGAATGGCGGCAAAACCAATCCCAAATGGACAAAGACCTAGTGGTGCAGGGTGGCATGTGCCAGTGACTTGGGTGAGCACAAACAAAACCAGAAAACCAGAAGTTCACTTAAAATAACAACAACAATAAACTGCTTAGGCCTCAAAAGGCACTCCCTAGAAAATAAGAAATTTAGCCTACAGAATAGGGGAAGACCTGCAAATCACCTCTCTGACACAGCACACAGAAGTCCTGTACAATAAAGGCTAGGCATGGCAGTGCAGCTCACAGTTCTAACACTCAAGGAGGCTCAGGCAGGAGGATCACAAGTATGAGTCTGAGCTACACAAGGAGACTGACAAAAAAAGGGCAAAATATCTGAACAGTATTTCTTCTTCATACTCAAGTGGCTATATTCAAGAAGCCAAGGAGTCTCGACTTGGTTTACTGTGGGTCAAGTAAAACACCGAATTTCACAAATTTCGTAAAATAAGGTGTTGGTGGTCTCAGCCAAATCTTTAATTCTACTGATGTTAAGTGGGAACAGGGCACACAACTTGGCTTAACTAAAGAATCAAATGCTCTGCATACAAACAAGGAGAGTGGGTAACACCATCTAAAATGCTAACACAATGCCCTCAAGGAACCCAACTCTGAAGAGCCTGTACTGACATCAACCTTTCCTGGAATCAAGGCCTTACTTGATGCTAAGTGATCTGTGTCCTTCTGTAATGTGGTGTAATGTGGTTATCCGGTGGCTTATCAGCAGTCAGTGCGACAGTAATGAATCTGAGTCTTTCTTGCTCCCAGACAGCAGCAGCAGTGGCCTGTTTGGTCTCTGGAGGTAGAGAGGCTTCTGGCATCGCTCATGAAGTTCCATCACTGCTGCCCTCTGTCCTGTCTCCTTTTATGCCTTCCTGTATTTCTATCCAGGTACCATTTCTGGACGAGGTTGAAAGGCCTGATATGAGTGGGCACAAAGTCAAGCAGCGTCACCAACCCATTAGTCCCCTTCTGCTCCTTCTCAGGGGACCTGCGCTCACTGGATTCTCAACTGTGTTCCTCAAGCCTGGGACTTCATACTCTGAGCAAGAGAGAAATTAAGTCAGAGTAACAAGTCTCTGTCACTTACTGACCACGGCAAGCGTGTATTCCTGTGTCTTCTTACGCAAAACTCATAACCTGCCTATGTTTCAGGACTGGTACACAGAAAACACGTTGTGGAATGACTCTGAACGACCCCTTCAGTAGTAAAGATGCTGCTCCAAGAGACCAAGAACACAGGAAGGCTGCCTCCAGAGACCCGTACTACCAAGCCTGAAAGTTCTACATGCCCAAATAAGCTCTTGAGCAATAGTATCACTTGCAGTGACCATATTTATAGCTCGCTTCAACTAAGAGTCATTATTTATGGCTGGAGAGTTACCTAAATCAGATGTTTCAAAAATGGTATTTAATAGCCTTCTTTCCAATAAAAGTGAAATCACCCCTATCTCAGCAGGAAGTGACGAACATTACTAACATTTTAATGACTTTCTAGGCTTTTTATCTGATTAGATTTTAACAACACAGAACACTATATGAATACCTAGTGGCCCAGTAATAGACCTTTTCTACATAACCAGGAGCTGTTTTTCTAACATCTGAACCTTTAGGTTTCAAACAAAAGATATTTCACACTTATTTCAAGAGGTGTCCTGGTTGGTTTTCTGTCAACTTGACACAATCTAGTCATCTGGTAAGAAGAACTTTTGAGAAAAGGCCTCCTCCAGATTGCCTGCAGACAAGTCTGTAAGGATGTCTTCTTGATTAATGATGGGGGTGGGGGGGTGGGAAGGCTGGTGAGTGGTACTCCTCCATGGTCTCTGCCTCAGTTCCTGCCTTGGCTTGCCTCAATGATACACTGTTCCTTGTAAACCAAATGAACCCTTTCCTCGCCTAGTTGTTTTTGGTCATGGTGTTTTGTCACGGCAATGGAACAAGCTAATGTTTTCACACTGGAATAGTAATCTATAAAGGGACATCACAGACCATTATAAAACTTTACACATAAACCCTCTGGCTTATTATAGCACTCCCAGAAAAGTCCAGTGTTTTCAATAAGGAACTCTAGCTGCTTGTAGAACTGAACTAATAGATGATAAAAATTATAGTGAAAGAGAAGCTGCAGATACAGCTCAGTGGCTGAGAGCACCTGCTGTAACTACGAAAACCATACTAAACTATCAATTACCTAACACGTGCGAATCTTCATTCCTTACCCTGTAGGGAACAGGTAAATTAACTATGTTGGGCCCACACCAGGGAATTTCACTTGGCTTTACAAAGAATCACACAGGGCCCAGGGCTGCTCAGTTGGTGAAGTTCTTGTCCTGCAACCTGACTTTAATCTCCAAAACCACGTCAGTGTGCCGGGGGCACAGTGACCCATACCCACAATCCCAGTGCCAGTCAGTCTAGTATAACTGGTGAGTTCCAGGTCAATACACGCCCTACCTCAGAAGAGACCATCATGCTGAGCACAATACTGAGCTGTACTCTGGCCTCCCCCACAAACACTGGCACACACACTTGAGTAAGAACCTACACACCCACACATATTAAAAAAAAAAAAAAAGACTCCTATAGGTATCACATGAAAACATGGATGAACTAGGACCTGGAAGGATAAACTCTTAAGTATTTCAAGTGTTTCTCTTCTTAAGGATATTGATGGAAGGAGTGAGGATGAATTATGTATTTTTACTTGATGTGTATGAGTGGTTTGCCTGCATGTATGTATGTATGTGCCTGGTACCTATGGTGCTGGATCTCCTGGAACTAGAGTGACGGACGGCTGTGAGACATCATGTGAGTTCTGGGAACCTAAGCCGGGTCCTCTACAAGAGCAGCCAGTGCTCCTGACCGCTAACCATCTCTCTCCAGGTTGAGGATGAAGGTTTAATTTTATAGTCCTCCCTACTGTTTGAACTTCTGTTACAAGCAGATGTATCACCTTTATAATTTAGTATAAAACATGAGGGGGCCCACAATAAACTGAAGCACAACACACGGTCACTGCATATCATAGCTCAGCAGGCCTACTCGTAAGGAGGCTGCCAGGTAGGTACTGTAGGTCACAGGTGCAAACCCCACTTGCCTCTTCAGGTGGTAAATTTTGTGTGTGTACTGCCCCTTCTCTCCATCCTTCTCATAGGGCTCATTCTTCAAGACTTCAATTCCTTCTCCGCCACCAGTTTCATTCTTACTGGCTTCTGCAACAGAGTAAAGCTGTCCAACCTGATACTGAAATTCCAGAGAGCAGAGTTTTACTAAGTCAATAAGAGCAGCAGAACTTTGCTACACTAAAACGTTAATAAAGATGATACAGAAAAGTCTAAGCAAACCATTCAGCATGTGCTCTCCATGAAAACAGAACTCAAGTGACAAATGCCGGATGATCACATGATCGTTCACAAATAAAAGTTACTAATATTTTACTTCTATAACAACATGTATCAGGAAAATGTCAGCACTTAGTTCAGCTTCTGAACCATGAACTTGTACCTCGTAGAACATTTTTACTTCTCTTACACCTCAGGAGTGTAACCTTAAGGCTGAGCAACCAGCTAGCTCTCTGAGGAATGAAGAATACATTGTGTGGTAGGAAAAGCCTCAGGACCTTATAGCACAGCTCTGGGGTCTCTTCCATGACTGATGAAGCAAGTGACAATTTGGCCCTTGCTCAGCTGAAAAGACACAGTATTGGGTACCCAAGATCAGGACTTTTCAACAAAATCCTCCAATAAGCACAAACGTTCTGGAAACATAAGCATGTGAGCATTAGCATGAAAGGCTGGTGAGTACGAGGTTATTCCTATCTCACAGTGAACCAGGGCTCTCAGGGCTAGGGCAGTTCCCATGCGTCAGCAGTATTGGACTGTGCACTAACAGTCACCATAAGGGGCAAAACTGAGGCTCTTATGGTCTCACTTGTTCCAGGGACTAATGCCAATCTCTTCAAATTTGATTAAGACAGCTTGAAGCAGCATTTTTCTTCTTTATGAGCTTATTTTCAAAGAAAAGGCATAAAATTTTACCTCTAAGAACTCATAATTCAAAGCTAAAATTATATTTGAGAGAATAAAAGCATCATCAAGAGCTCAGTAAATACTCACGGAAACACTCACGGGGAATGCAACATTATGCTGGCTAACTTAATAGCCCTCACCCCTACCCTGCATGACTCAATTCGATTTGGAGGGGTCTGAAAGGCTGGAACTAAAAAAAGTGCTCCCAAGGAAGTATCAACTTAAGGCTTTGGACTGAGCAGGGCGTGCTGGGCCACACCTTTAATCCCACCACTCAGGAGGCAGAGACAGGCCAGCCTGGTTTACAAAGACTTCCAGGACCGCCAGGGCCGCTACACAGAGAAACCTTGTCTCAAAATCCAAAACAAACAAACAAACAAAAGAATCTGGATGGCCGGGGAGGCTATTCCCTCTGTTTTCCAACATGTTTCTTGGGTTAGTCTAATGCTAATGTCATAGTCCTTAAAAGTCCTTTCAAAATTTCCTTTCAACATGTCAGATTTCCAAACAGGATTAAAATGTCTTTAAAATAGAGGACAAATTTGGTCTAACAAAATCTATGAAGAAACTAAATGGCTCGACTCCCCAAAAGATTAATGAATTGGTAACTTGAAGCATGCTACTAGGTTGTCTCTTGGGTGTTATTTGAAAAACAACTCAGGGTCAGATGTAGTAGCCCACACCTTTAACCCCAGCATTCAGGAGACATAGACAGTTGGATCTCTGCATTTGAGGCCAGCCTGGTCTACCGAGTGAGCTCCAGGACAGGCAGGGCTACACAGAGAAACCCTGTCTCAGAAAAACAAAAATGAGTAACTCAAGACTCAGGGAAGGGGGACATGCTTGTTAAATCTGAGTATAATAACAAGCTGAAAAGATCTGGGGTGACAATATCAAGACTCCAGATTTCAACAAGTTGTTTCAATCAGCTACTCCCCCTCCCCCGAAAATAAACCCTACAAAAATAAATGTTAAGTCCCTCCTCTGAGCTCAATTAATCAATTGTACAAACACAGAACTGGGCCTGGTGCGCCCAGTGTTCTTAGCACTGTGGTGAAAGCCCTGCCCTGCTCAGTCACCACGCAGCTGCACTCAGGTCCACACAGGAGAGAGCCACCGCTTTTCCGCAGTTCTGCTTTTCCTGCCTTCTGTCATCTGTCACTTCTTAGCTTATCGGTTTGTTTTGTTCAACTTCCAACTCTCTGCTCAGGATCTACTGTCAGCTGGGGAACTACTGTGAGCACGTTCAGAAGGACCCAGGGGGTTACCCTGGCTCCACAAGCCAACTTCTCAGACAGCCTCTCTGCTTTGTCTTCCCTGTCCACCGTCTCCGTCATAATCTCACTTTGAGCTGACGGTAAGATCACATCTGGAACACCATTTCAGTGCTCAGCAGCAGCTACAGTGCATGTAGCGACAAGGCCAGCTGTGTAAAGTCATGAGGTCACATCATATTAGCACAAATGGATGTGCTGGGAATGTTTAACTCTGTGACCTGCTAAAGTGGAACAGAAGGTCTTGGGGGTGGTGAGGTTGGCAGGCAGAGCTACCACCAGAAAAGCTCCAGTGTTACCACAGGCAAGACAGAGAAGGCTTAACTCACACATGTTACAGAAAAGCAAGTTCTGCGGAAAGATCAATGTCAGTAGTAAAGGAGGCCACCTTGAGGCTGGAACCTCATTTTTCTGGGACAACGCTGAAACAATTTCTACACTGGTTAAACTATTTTCTACACATTCTTCCAAATGAGACAATATAACAGAAATTTATTTACAATTATCTGTAACACATGATTCATTTTGTCACAAGAACTGGATGAAAAGGTAAATGAAGGCAGACTGCTTGCCTAGCACATGTGAGGCCCTGGGTCCAAATCCCAGGACGGCACCAAGAAGGAAGACAAAAGCAAATGCGTATTACAAAAACAGCATAGATCAACATATCAGTAAATCATACTAATGGAATGCGCAGAACCAAAAAGAAAAAAAAACAACTTACCTCCTGAACAGAACACGGCAACACCACACGACTAAAAAGAAAAAGAAAAATATACACATTACATATTGATATGGCTTTAAAACACAGATCTCTAGACTCAATGTAACTTCAATAATTTTTTTTCTTCTTCTTTTTTTTTTTTTTTTTGAGACAGGGTTTCTCTATGTAGTCCTGGAACTCACTCTGTAGACCAGGCTGACCTCAAACAGAGATCCACCTGCCTCTGCCTCCGAGTGCTGGGATTAAAGGCGTGCGCCATCACCGCTTGTCTTGGAACTTTAAATCTAGTGACACCGTAGACAAGAATGCTATTTACAGGAGAGGGTGTTTATAAGCCTAGGACCCTAAGGTCTCAGCTACAAGACTAAGACTGCCACTGTTGACGTTGGAGGGCTACCCGCCTCACTGCCACAGGACCCAAGATGCAGAGGTGTGATTCCTGTTAGGGTAAACAAGCGTTGACAAAGCTCGTCCTCTGTAGAATCTCTGGTCAGGACAATCTCATGAAATTTTTAGTATAGTTGCATTCATCATTTATGTGCTATACATTTTAAAGGTTTACTTTTATGTGTACGAGAGAGCACCCACAAAAGCCAGAAGAGGGCATGGGGTCACCTGGCACTACAGGTACAGGAGGTCACAAGCCACCCAACATAGGTCTTCTGAAAGAGCAGTCAGTGCTCTTAGCCACAGAGCTCTCGATAACCCTGTGCCTATTTTATTTCTGATACTTCTCTCAGAATACAAACATGCCTTGAAGTCCACGAATGAATGTTTCCAGAAAAGTACCTCTACAACCTAATTATTCAAGTTTAGTGAGACAAAAGTAAGTACAGATGCCCATGGAGGCCGGAGTGTGAGTGAGGAGGATGTGAGCGGGGGTAAGGGAGGTCTGAGGGAGGGCTGGGAGCTCCAAGAGGACCCTCGCCCCAAGTCTGATGTTTCTAGGGCCCTGGACAGTGGTTGTGCTTGGCAAACACATGCAAGCAAACACACACACACACACACACACACACACACACAAAAAAAAAACTTAAAATAATAAAAACAAATCTTAGAGGATTTGCAAAATGCATAGTGTATAAATTCCCACTCTGGACTAATCTGCCCGCAGACTACTCACCTAACTGTCAAATAGGGCTACTCAACAGTTAATTCTCATTTTGAAAACAAGTAACTAATATATTAAAAACAACTAAACACCTCATGTTTAATCCGGGCTGCAACTCTCGTTAGGTGGTCTGGGACAAGTCAATTTCTATCTGTCTCAGAGTCTCCTTCTGTCTTAATATCTGCCATTAGGATAATAAATGAGGCAATGCTTCACTGAATTTACATTGAAAATACATTGAAATTACTTGGAAGAAAGTTTTCACACAGGCTCAAAGTTCAGTGCTATGAATATGTTTTAAATGCCAATCTTTGCTCTGCGCAGAATGCAAAAGTATGCCTCTTTTCAGGCATATGCCCCCATCACTAACAAGAAGCAGTGATTTTTTTCAGGCCAGAGATGGCTCCGCAGGCAAAGGCATTTGCCTCTAAGTATGACCTGAATTCCAGCTGCAGGACCCTAATGGGAGGAAAGAACTGACCGATTCAAGTTGTCCTCTGATCTCGAAAAGCATGCTATGGCACCTGCCTGTACACACGTACACGTGTACACACACACACACACACACACACAAATTTAATTTTTTTCCAAAAAGTAATCTGTCATCAATTCATGAGCAAATGTTTGCTGAGGGGCTGAGAGATGGCTGGATGGCTAAGAGGACCTGCTGCTCTTTCAGAGTACCTGAGTTCAGTTTACAGCACCCACAGAGTGGCTCATCACCCCCTCTCCATGCCCTCTTCTTACCTCCAAGAGCACTGCTGAGTATCTTCTAAGTGCTAAAGACTGTTTCTAAGAGCTGGAGGTATCAGAGGGAGGACAGCGTGCAATGCGGGGAGAACATGGTCAAAGACAAACAATACAAACTCCACCAGAAGGTGAGCTACTGATTGGCGGAAAAAGCATCCAAGGCAGCAGAAGGAAAAGGAAACACACCTGCCCTAAGTTAAGCCTGTTTGCAGAGCAACACGGGGTCTTGCGATGCTGAGATGGGCAAGAGAAAATTTAGATATGAGCAGAAAAAAAAATCTGGGCAGTGTTAAGTAGAGGTACTATGTTAGTGATTTTTTTTTTTTTACACCGGTGAAATTAACACAGACAAGCTGTCTACACAGCTAAATTAGGGTCTGTTTAAAAAAAAAATTTGAAATTGGGGTGGGGGAGAAGAGCGACAACAAAATGGGTCATACTTGAAACCCCTGATTGCACCAGGAGCACTGATTCAGGTGTGACAGCCGGAACAGTCCCCGCCAGCACAGTTTCCTGTCATGTTCACGGCTCTGGGGAAGCACAACTTTTCAACGACATAAATCACGGGGCCAGCCCGATGCACCTGGGGATGTCTTCATTTGCCACACCATGTGTTTAAGGCAGCATCGTACCCCCCGGGAATGCAGGTGGGGCCGGTGTCGCCTCATCTGAAGAGGTGCGGGGCCAGAGATCGATGGCAGGGCGATGTTCTAGGGGTCAGGTCTACCGAGCCCGCAGGGGTTCTGGCATGAACTTCCGGACGACCCCTCGCCGGGCACACCCGGCTCCCACGGGAGCTCCGGCCGCGCCGCCGAGCCTGGGGCGGGCTACGGAGGGCGGCGTCTCCGCACAGGGCCTCGGGGCTCCGGCAAGGGGCTCGCAGCGTCCCGGCAGCGCCCCCCACACTGAGCCAACCGACCCTCCCCAGCTCGCGTCCCGGAGCCTCACACCAGCCCACCGACCCACTCACAATTCCTTAATCAGCACCATCTTCCGGGAACCCCCTCACAGCTGCCGCCGCCGCCGCCGCCACCGCCGGGCCTCTCAGGACGCATGCGCAGCCCGGCCTCCCAATGGTCCGAGCCCCGGCCGCGCAGGCGCGTCCGCACCCTTCCGCCGCGGGCCATTGCGTCAGCGCGCCTGGGGGCTAGCTCCGCCCAGGCCACGCCCCACCCTCGGCGCACGGGCCCTCCACGGCGGCTGCGCGGCCCGTTGGCGCGCACGTGCGGCTGGGTCGGCGCCTGCGCACACTCGGCGAGCGCTGAGGCTGCCTTGCTGTCCGACGTCCTCCCGCCAGCCTCAGTACCCCAAAAGGCTGCTTCCGAGTGAGTTCTCGAGTCCGGGGCCCTAGACGGCGTTGTGCTGTGGCTGGTGTTGCATTCCCTCGCTGCTCGCAGAGGATGTCCGCCTTCCTGACACCTCGCTTCCGTCGTGCACGTTAGAGACTTCACACAGGTGTGGAAGCCGGCGACGCCAGATTTTGGCGCCTCAGATTTTACAGGAGTGTGTTTTAACGCTGATGTGTTCGCCCCCCGTACTGACTTTAAAAAAAAAAAACTTTTTAAAAAAGTGTATGGCCGTTTTGCCTACATACACGTCTGCTCCATGTGCGTGTCAGATGCCTCTTGAGGCCATCAGAGGGCACTGGATCCCGTGGAACTGGAGTTGCAGACAGTCGTGAAATGCCACGTGGGTGCTGGGAACCAAACCTGGCGCCTCTGCCAGAGCAGCCAGTGTTTTTAATAGCTTAGCCCCTGTCCAAACATTTAATCCTCAACAAATGCAAATTTGCATGACAGAGACCCAGTTGGGTTAGACAAATTCTGCCAGCCTGAGGCATTGGTTTCATCGTTATGTACTTCCAGGCACAGAGCTTGTTACAGTAAGAATGAAAGTTAGATTTTACCATAACTAATCCGAAGATTCCTGAACACACACACACACACACACACACACACACACACACACACACACTGTGTGTCCAGCACGGGCTTTGTTTCACTGGTTGATGTAACACAAATCCGATCAAACAATTTCGAACAATCGCTTGAATACTGCGTTTTTACATAGCTTTTTCTTCTGACACCTCCACTCCCTGAGATTCATAACTTGGGATCCAGGGGCCTTTTGGTGGGACTCCCAGGCAACTGGTGAACTGTAGACATCATAGGCATAATTTCATGTCAATGCACATTTTAGTCATTTTGCTTACTCTGTCAAACCATATTTTCCCCTTCCCGAATGATCTTGAGAATATTTTCATGAAAACTGGAAATAGCCCCAAGCATTCTTTAATTTTGTTAAGTCTCAGAGCACAGGTCAGGTGTACCGACTTGAGAAACTGGATTGGACTTGGGAGTAGAAGACCTGGGTCTGGGTTCTGGCTCTTTGACTTAAGAGACCTTAGGTAAAGAATCTTGCAGAGACTCCGTTTATACAACCAAAAATAGGTGATTACCATCTACAACTGATTTATTTTAGAGAATAAAAGATACGAAAAGGACTAAGGTAGCTCAGATTACAGAGTACTTGCCTAACATGTGCCAGCAGTGAAGTGAGTTCAGTCTTCAACACTACAGCAAAACCAAAATTAGATGAAGCACTTATGTAACGTATCACCTGGCTATTAGTGTTTTTCAAATGGGAACCATATTAAAATATTAAGCCAGAAAGGGGCTGGAGAGATGTTAAGAGTGCTTACTGCTCATCCAGAAGATCAGTACCCACAACAGGTGGCTCACAACCACTTGTAACTCCAGCCCCGGGGATCTGAAACCTCTGGCCTTTGAGGGTATGTGCATGAAGGTGTGCATATAAGCATGCACATAAAATTTTTTTATTATTAAATAATGTTTTTGCTTATTCTTCGAGAACTTTATACGACTCTTAAAATATAATAACATCATTTCTCCCTGCCCTCTTCTACCCCTCCCATATCTGACCACACTCTCCCCCTCAAAGCCAGGGCTTTCTCTTATTTAACCATTATTATTACACATACATATAAACAAATGAGCATATAAGTACAACCTGTTAATCAATTCAATTTTGCCTGTATGTTTAAGTTTCTAGGACTGACCACTCAGTATTTAGATAGCTAGTCAGGGGACTCATCCCTAGCAAGACTAATTCTCCCCTTGCTTCTGTCTGGAGTGCAGTTGTTAATTGCCCATAGATCTTCATCTAGGGGTGGGGGTGAGATTTTCCCCATAACCTTGGGATGTCAGATGTCATTGGAATTGTTCTAGTCTTGTTTAGGCAGCCATGTTGTTGAGGTCCTCTGGCTCTTAGAATCTTTCCACCTCTTCTTCTATCGTGCTCCCTGAGTATTAAGTGCAAGAATTGTGTTGTAGATGTATCAGCAGGGGCTTGGGCACCCATGGCCAGTGTTCTCTGCATTTTGACCACTTGTGGCTTTCTGTAATGGTCTCCTGCTGCTGCAACACAGATCTTTGATGAGGGGTGAGACATGCACTTACATGTGGGTATAAGGATAAGTATTTAGAATGCAGTTAGGTATGATGCTGGTTTAGTAAACTGGCAGTTGTAGGTTCTCCAATAACTATGGCTTCACTAGCCACATGTAGTTGGCTGTGTTTCCAGTTCCAGACATGATTTCCCTCCTGTTTATCAGGCCTTTCTTCCAATTAGACAGCTTTTGGCTACTGTGTTAGCTGGGATTTTCTAGAGGAACAGAACTGATAGAATATATATATTGGATTTATTAGAATGGCTTACCAGCTATGGTCTGGCTAATCCAACAATGGCTGTCTCCCAGAGGAAAGTTCCCAGTAGTGCTTCAGACCATGGGACTGGATATCTCAGCTGGTCTTCAGTATATTTTGGATTCCCGAGAAAGTAACCTCTAATGCCATTGAAGTGAAAGCTAGAGCAGACATGCAAAGAACGGTTAACTAAATGATCCAGTTAACTAAAATCCTGCACAGGTGTGCCCAGTGACTTGGGTTTTTAGTTAATTACAGGTGTAATAAAGTTGATAACCAAGAATAGCTATCACAAGTTCACCCCTTATCAACTTGGCACACAATCGCATGTCTTTATGCCATGCTTAACTTCCAAATGAAAATAACCAGGTCATGATTAGACCTACCACAATGTAACTATCCACATACAACCACAAATGCATTATATATTTTAGAATAGGTAGCAGTGTCCTTTGAGGGACATTTTTTAGTATCTCAACTTAGTATGATAACCACTGATATTATCTCAGTTGATGTTATATTACATGATAAGGAAATTAAGGAAAGAGAACATAAATATCTCTACAAACACATTATTAAGAAAATATGACAAACTCTCACGTCAATTGTAATCCTTGTTTCTGCAACTGGTTACATGGCCTTAGCTGGTATTTATAGCTACTTTCCTCTACTACCCATTTTTTTATTTCTTCCACCCTTAGCAAGCACCTCAGCAGGTCTTAGTTCTTTTCCTGGAGGAGGGACCCATACCTTCAGTTCTGAAGGGTCTGTGCCTTTTGTCATCCTGCCTGGATTGGGTTGTAGTTTCCCATTGATTTTAATCAGAGGACATGGTAACACCAAGAGATGTCCTAAAGGATCTCATGCACTCCAGACATAATCTTTCTTACCTCCATTGTGGAGAAGCAATCCAGTTTCTCCATGGTAATCTGCATCAATCACTCCTCCTAACACTGTTATTCCTTTCTTAGCCTGTTGACTAAAGGGCATCAGCAGCTCAAAGTGGCCAGGGGGCTGTCTGAGCTTCCAGTTCAGTGGAATGTTTCTCCTGTCTCCTGACAAGAACAATCCCACCCCTAGAACCAATACTTCTAGGCTAACAGAATTTAAGGTTGTGAGAACAGCAAAAACTGTCATAGTGCATTATTGAGGGGGTGATAGTTGTAGTTGGAAGTTTCTCTGGTACCACCCTACCCGCGATCCTGTAGCCACTCGTAAAATAATCACTCAGAAGCTTAATATTAATTACAAACTGTATAGCCTATGGCTCCAGCACATTATTAACTATCTCTTATAACTAATTCAACCCATTCCTATCATTCTATGTCTTGCTACATGGCTTCGTGGCTTACAAGGACTTTGACATCTTGCTTCTCCTGGCGGTGGATCACAGTGACTCCCCTCACCTTTTTCTTCCTCTCTCTTCAGTTTGAATGTACCACCTAACCTTATTGTGCCTCACCATTGGCCAAGTAGCTTTATTTATCAACCAATCAGAGCTTACAGAAAGATACCCCACAGCAGGTAATGAGTGGAACTGTTCTCTTTTCCATCCCTGGTTCCTGGACCTGTGGATCCTGACTATAGGAGAAACTCTACCATATACTGGATGCTGAATCAGAGCACATACTGCCTTCTGGAGAACCCTGCCCCAGCCCTCCAGGCTACTGCCCTCCTTGGCATTATAATTGTATCTTTTAGAGGTCATCCTATTATTCTATAAAGCCAACTGCTTTGGGGTGGTGGGAAACATGGTAAGGCCAGTGGATTTCATGAACATGGGCCCATTGTTAAAACTTCTCTGGCTGTGAAGTGAGTTCCTTGGTCAGAAGCAATGCTGTGTGAAATGCCATGATGGTGGGTAAGATGTAGGCAGAGTTTTCCTACATGTATATGTCCTGACTGCCTGTTCCCAAATAACCAATTAGAGACTTTAGATTATTTATAAATGCTCAACCAGTAGCTCAGGCTTATTACTAACTAGCTCTTACATTTTAAGTTAACCCATATTTCTTATTTACACTCTGCCACATAGCAATGCCTTTATTAACATGGTACATTCATCTCTACTCCCTTTGCATCTGGCTGGCAACTCCAGACTCTGCCCTTCTTCCCACCATTCTCAGTTTGGCTCTCCTGCCTAACGTTATCCCGTTTGCTATTGGCCAGTCAGCTTCTTTATTAAATCAATCACAGTGACAAATCTTCACAGTGCACAAAAGGATTATTCCACAGAGTAAGACATTCTGTAATCCCATGGGTGGTAGTTTTGGCAGAGGCATCACATGTAGGAAGGCAAAACCCATAAGCAGAATGAGTATCTACTCCAGTAAGGACAAAGTATTGTCCATTCCATGGAAGAAGTTGTCCAATGTAATA